GTCTGTTGTGATTTGTGATTCGTCCACATTTAGACCAATCACAGCGTCACACTCTGCCGCCTATTCTGGATTTGTTTATTGTGCATTCTGTAGACTCCCATTTCTGTTTGAATTACAAAATGGACATCAGAAATTGGCTCAAAAGGTCTAAGGATTTATTAAAACGAAATAGCGATGAAAGAACTGCAGCCGATGGTGCTGCTGGCGACCCTGCACCTGCCGTTGCAGCAGCACGCCTTAATGTCACAAGCTTGACCTCGGCAAACCCCGGGGCTGAGTTAGCGAGCCCAAGCCTTGACTCATCAAGGCGGCCGCCACCAACGCTGTCCTCTGAGGCACAGCTCCTTGTTGCCCCTACCATCACCACCTGCGTTGCCACACCCTGCACCACACCCGCCAGCATCCTCCTCCTCCGTGCCGGTGCCTCCACTACAGACGCTAACTCGCAGCACAGCAACAGGTGCTATTGGGTCAGCAACCGCTCAAAGACCAACAGCCCCAGATGATCTTGGGGTTAATAAACCCAACCAGGTGAAACTGGATCGTTATCAGGGAGATTGTTTTCAGGAAAGAAGCACACTTTAGCCGCTGCATGGTACACAACAGACCATGGCTTGAATATTCGTTCAAAGCAGACGCAGCCTTTTGTTTCCCCTGTAGACACTTTAAAGTGAATACGTCTTCATCTGATGCGGCTTTTACTGTCAAAGGTTTTTGCGACTGGAAACACGCATTACAGACTGCTAAGGCATGCCGCATCAAAAGAACACATTTCATGTGAGAGTTTGTGGAGAGAGAGACAGATACGCAAGGAAACAAATAAGGAAATAAGTACTTTGGTGCAGATCAGCTGGCACAGAGCCGTTATTACGTGTCAGCTGTCGTTGATATTATAGCTTTTTTAGCTGTCAACCAACTCCCTCTCAGAGGTGACTCGATTCACTCCACAGCATGTCCGAGTGCAGTGCATAGGAACATAAACCATGCCCAAGGCGGGCTAAACAGTTCATCGTCTCCGTCTCTATTTCTCTCCGAGTGCAGCGATGAGGAAGCTGCCATCCGTAACCAGTGTGCCTTGCTCGTGATTTACCAGTGCCTGTGCTGCCACGCACACAATGTTTCAAAAGTGGTTTCTATGTTGCCCTTTATTTGTGTATGTTTGCGATAAGTGTGCGTCTTTGCGCGATGCTGTTGGCCTTGCTGTTTGATATATATTGTGCCGCAGTCCCGCAGCACGTGACTGTTTTGTGTGCCCTCCCATGAAAATCATATGCCCTCCCTTTAGATTTGTTCTGGCGCCGGGTCTGCATGGAGGATAGGGGTGATGTGGTCGGAGCGTCGGGTGGAGGTGAGCAAGCGGGCAGCTGAGTTTTGGACATATTGTTACGACCCTGGTCGTTCTGTGTATTATGTGTAGAGATGTTTCCCTCCTCCTGTGTGTGTGTGTGTGTGTGTGTGTGTGTGTGTGTGTGTGTGTGTGTGTGGTGTGTGTGTGTGTGTGTGTGTGTGTGTGTGTGTGGTGTGTGTGTGTGTGTGTGTGTGTGTGTGTGTGTGTGTGTGTGTGTGTGTGTGTGTGTGTGTGTGTGTGAGCAAGCAAGCAGGTGGTGCCCGTTAGCTACCTTCAACAGGCTGATTGGTCCACTTGAAGAAGAGGGGAGTATTTAAGCTGCAGCCATGCAGTCTCTCTGACTCAGCTTCTCCCGCTCCGAACTGTTGCGTATTTGTATCTGTCCTTTTGTACTTCTGTCCTTGTATATTTTCTGTAAACTTTGGAAGGATAGACATAACTTTAACCTGTCCTTTTTGGACACGCCTTAAGTCTACGTGAAAGTGTGAAACCCTTTTTCTCTTGGTTGGTTGTCGTTTTCTCCTGTTTTATCGTCAGTGTAGGAAAGAGTCCTGTATGTTTATTTTCTTATTTGTGAGGCAAGATTTTTGTGTTCAGAGATTTGTTTGTTTTGTGGGTTGTTGCACTTATTTGTTAAAAAGAAAACGTTGGTAAATAAATTTACCAAACGCCATTCACTGTCTCATTGTCTATGTTCTTGGGAGTGGGAAAAGAGAGTGCACATTTTATGCTGCGCCTAGGTTCCCCTAGAGATCTGGGCGTAACAATATTGAAGTTGTTTTAGTGTGAATGCAGGTGATCCAAAAAGTATGCTGTTGCAGTAATCCATTCGGGATGTTATGAAGGCATGGATCAGAGTTTCAGCAGCGGTCGATGAGAGGGAGGGTCTGATGCGGGCGATGTTCTTTAAATGGAAGAAAGCGTTTTTTGTGAGCTGGTTGACCTGAGGGAGGAAAGTGAGGGTGGGCTCGAGGATGATGCCAAGGTTACGGATGTGAGTGGAGGGGTTGACAATAGAGCCATCGATGGTAAGAGAACAATCTTGGGTTGAGCGGGTAAGTGAGTTTGGGCCAATGATTATAAGTTCCGATTTGTCACAGTTAAGTTTTAGAAAATTGTTTTGCATCCAAATGTTAATGTCAGTGAGGTGCTGAGCTGGGAGTGTGTGGTTGGAGAAATTGATTTTGTTGAGAGGTAGAACTGCGTGTCATCAGCATAACAGTGGAACTGGAGTTGGTGTTGACGGAGGATTTGTCCAATTGGGAGGATGTAGATGATGAACAGAAGGGGACCAAGTACAGAACCCTGAGGGACGCCATGATTGACGGGGGCTGTGGGGGATTTGGAGTTGTTAATGGAGATTAATTGATGTCTGTCAGAGAGATAGGATTTAAACCAGGAGAGGGCAGTACCGGTTATGCCAATGGAAGAATGGAGGCGGTTGATGAGGATGGAATGGTTGATCGTGTCAAATGCGGCTGATAGGTCAAGGAGAATGAGAATTGAGAGGGAACCAGAGTCAGCAGAGAGGAGAATGTCGTTGGTCACCTTGAGTAGAGCAGATTCTGTGCTGTGGCGAGTACGGGAACCAGTTTGAAAAGGTTCATGAAGGTTATTGCAGTCCAGATGGGATTTTAGTTGGGAGGCAACAGTTCGCTCCAGAATCTTTGACAGGAATGGGAGGTTAGAGATGGGCCGGTAGTTATTGAGGGAATCAGGGTTGAGACTATGGGAGTGACAGCAGCGAGTTTCAGATCAGGGGGGACGAGTCCAGTGGACAGAGAGGAGTTAATGACTGTGGTGATAAGATGAGTGAGTTGGGGGAGGCAGGCCTTGACAAGGGTGGAGGGCATGGGGTCCAGGATGGAAGTTGAGGTATTCATGCCGGTGACTTGGGCAACTATGTTCAGTGAGGTCATTTGTCTGAAGGCTGTAAAAGGGTGCAGAAGGGAGTAGAAGTACACAGTAGCATAACATGGAAATACTAGTCTACCTCAGAATTGTACTTAAGTACAGTACTTTAGTATATGTCGTTACTTTACAGGCTGCTGATCACCCGTTCCCCCCGGTCTGCTGCAGCCTGTAATGTGTGTGAGATCCTGCTTCAGTCACGACTCCCTGAAAGGATGCTGTGACTCACAGGCACCAAACTACACTCAGAAAGATTCACATTTAAAACAAATAGAGTTTTCCTCTATTCTTCTGGCTGGGAGAAGCCCCACTCGAGTTCATGATACATGTTTCCTAAAATACATCTGAAAAAATTAGTGTTGTAACAGATTCAAATGGAAATAAAGGGGGTGGGGCTGTCATTAAATTCCAGCTGTGTTGATGTGCTTAGTGGCCATGTGGTGACGTCACCGGTTTTAGGCGGTCACTCAGATTGCCTGTGCAGAATACCACCAGTGTGTGTGTGTGTGTGTGTGTGTGTGTGTGTTAGTGTGTGTGTGTGTTTGTGTGTGGCTCTCACACACAGTGCTCCAGCCATTGAAGCCCATATTTGGAATGTCCGTAGTGGCCAAACGGTGGTACTGCAGCTTCCGTGACGTCATCTTGGCCCAAACTGATTTTTTTCCCCATTGACTTACATCGTGGAAAGAAACGTCTGTAAATCAGCGGATACATTTTTTTTTACAGAGCTAACACTTTTATAGCCCGTAAAGGAAACATTATATAATTGTTTTTTATTTTGAAAAGTAATTTTACTAGTATGTTATATTTTGTATTTATTTTGCGTATATAAATATATGAATGCATTTGTTATTAATACAGTCTATATCCCATTAAATAAGCTCTTACAATCAGTCATTACATTTGTCTCTATTTATTCATATCTGCTTTAATTGTATTTTCAGAATCAGAAAGTTGGTTTACACATACAGGGGAATTTTCCTCGGTGTATTTGATGAATACAATAAACAGTTACAGAAGATAAAAAGTAAAAAAATAAAATAATAATGAATAAAAACTATTATAGGCCTACGTTAAGGTATAGGAAATGATATACATGAAGTCTAGATGTGCCAAAAAACGACTTGCATTGATGACAAAGTAATAAAATGAAATGTGTGCAGGAGTGTTATGGGAAGTGGAAAGTTGTGTACAAGAGAGGTAGCCTTTGTACAAATATGCAAACATATTTGGAGGGTTGTGCACACCTGACAACACTAATGAAATTGAGATATTGTCTGTATTAAAACAAATATATATAAATACATACGAGTCATTTATGATGGTGGCGAAGTCCAGAATGTAAAATGTCCCCTCTGTGGGACCAGTTCCTTCTTCTTCTTTATACTGGGGATTAGGGTATTTGTTAAAAATGTTCTAGAAATAGCAGCAAGAACTGTACACTTTGAGAAAGGTGAACAATCTGGAGGACTGTTCACACTTTTGGGTGTATTTCTGGTGACCCAAGACACACGTTTGATATAAATAATAATGAATAGAGAATACAGTAGCTTTGCAGCAGTGTTGCATAGTTACTGCACTAACAAGTATTGTTAGCATATGTCTGTATACTGTATGTATACCGTATATATGTATTTTTACTCAACAACTCAACTGCGCATGCTCAGTGGGCCCACATCCGGGTACTTTGTGACTCTACAGCCTCTCTATTCTGTCTTCATGCACCAGTGAGCGAGTCTCATAGGAATGAACGCAGCTTCGCCTCTCTCTCTTTTCTCGTCCATGGTTACAAACACCACTCTCTTCCACACACACAGCGGGTTAGCCTCGGTTAGCTTAGCTTCTCCAAACCGGTTGTGTGATTTGTTTCTCCGATGTGTTGCCGGGATCCTCGTTGAAGTAACGGATTGATCTGCCTCCCCTCCTCGGCCATGGAGTGCCGTGTCCTGTCCATACAGAGCCATGTAGTCCGGGGGTATGTGGGCAACAAGAGCGCCTCTTTCCCATTGCAGGTAAATACAAACCGCATGCACCCATTATCGGACACCTTGCAGCCGCTTCGGACGCGACCTCGTCGGTCACGCTGCTCCAGAGAATCTGATACTAAACCCACTCATGTTAATGCCATTATTGTGAAGTAATATGCAAATGATATGGTACTACAAACGGTAATCCGCCTGAAACCGTGTCTGTCTGAGTTAATATACGTGTTAGTTGTATTAAAAAAAGGCCGTAAATGATTGTTATAATGTGGTTAAACCCCAAATAACAGCTTCAAATGTCCGGCAATACACCTGCCGACAGGAGTTTCCAGACAACACAAAATGGACCATGGCATTACATTATAAACCCACTCGTGTTAATGCCATTTCTGTGAATAAATGTACATCATAATACAAACCAGCCATCCGCCTCACACCGTGTCTGTTTGACGGTGTGCGTTGGTTCTATTCCCCTGACGGTTTTATAGTAAACAGCGGTTGTGAGACTGTGGAAAACCCCCAGATTTCAGCTTCAAATGTCAGGCAGTAAACGTGAGGACAGGTGTTCCCCATCCACATCTGTCCTCCTCTGCCTTTAACCCTTTCAGGACCTCACGTGTACTGCTTGACATTTCTACCTGTTATTTGTTTGTTTTCCCACATTCCCCTTTACATCCAATAGTATTGCTATTTAGATTAACAGTTTCTCTAACAACATGTAGAAGGTCTCAAATTCCCAACAATGCAACCAGAGAATAGGAAAAACTAAATGTATAGAAATCAAATCAATAATAACACTGAGAGCATAAATAACACAGACAGGTATAACAACAATACATACAAAATAAAAGATGGGTTGTATATAAGGTCATCTTAAATATTAGAATAATACAGTCCAATATATAAAAATTCCTCATTTTAAAGAAGCCATATGATATTATTTATGTGTCACACAGTCCAGTTCCTTTCATGCATCCTTTATAATCCTCCTAAACTCGCTTTGTACTATAAACACACAGAGGAATAGAACATTAACTCAAACGAGACGGTTTTAGACGGATGACCCATTTGTGTTTGATCGTACGAACTTTGTACGATGTCATTTGCAAATTTCTTCACCAAAAATGGCATTTAAAATGTAATCCCGTAGTCCTCCGTTGGTCATAGGAGTGTGTGTTCCAGCCACTAACATCACAGAGCCCCCCCGACCATGCTTAACACGTTTAAAGTTACTCCGCTGTGCACGTGAAGGTAATCGCAGTATTCTTCAAAGATGGCCGACTTGCCGTTGATGTCACATTGTGGCACGGTTGTTATGAATCAAATCAAGTTTTATTTATATAGCACATTTATAAACGATGTTTGGTGGAGCCAAAGTGCTGTACATAAAATAAAAACAGCCTACAGTAGAGACACTTTACAGCAAATACAACAGCACAGATTGTTCAGAATATCAGTATGAGAAAAACGACACCCTCTGTCCTTAGAGCCTCTGTCCTTAGACCCTCTGTCCTCAGACCCTCTGTCCTTAGACCCTCTGTCCTTAGACCCTCACATCGTACAAGGAAAAACTTCCAGAGAAAACCCACAGTTTAAAGGGAACATGGGAGAAACCTCAGGGAGAGCAACAGAGGAGGGATCCCTCTCCCAGGACGGACAGACGTGCAATAGATGCCGTGTGTAAATCGAAGAGATAATACATTTTACAGCATATAGACCGAATGTTAGGAAATGCATGTGTCTGTAATAAGAAGATGAATCCACGAGTATGTCAGCTCCAATCCTGTGGAAGCCATCAGGGAAGCAGCATGACGAGACCCAAGGCAGGACCGCAGAGACAGGTTCAGCCACGACCCGAAGTCCACGACTTAATCCAGAACTCAGGATAGAGGATCCAAGACACAGGACTACAGCAAGAGGATCAGCCTCGACTCCGGATCCCGGCGTAGATATAGATACAAAACAAGAAGAAAGATTTGGCTGGGTTAATCAGAACAAGAGAATACACAGACACAGACAGAGAGGGGAAAGGTCATTGGATAAAAGTTATTCTTGATAACCCTCTAGAAAGATCTCATGAACTTCCCCACTCAATCTATCAAGACCCGAGCAGTTCTATTAGATATAGATAAGAAACAGAGATAGGAGCACAACAACCTATCTCTCTGCTGATGTTCAGGTGTATATCAGTATGTAGAGTCTCTACTTTAAAAAGTGCAGCTTCCGTTTCATATCCTCCAAAGATGGCCACCTTGTAGTTAATGACATCACGTTCCCGCTCCCTTTCACCAGCATGATGATGATGACGGTGATGATGATGATGCCGATGGTGTTTGATATACTTTTTATATTTCCACCAGTAGTGATCCTGAGGCTTCAGTACGTGGTCCTCCTGAAGAGCCGAGTCTATTTGTATCCCGCTGCTGGTGTGTTCTGTTATCCTAATGGCTGCTGGGCTTTCATGCACGTCTCTTTCACTTCTCCTGTTCAACTGCAGCTGACAGAGGCAGAAACTGGAGGAAGTTATGTACGACCCACAGACTGTCTGTGACATGGAGAACACGTCACTGCTTTATTTCTGTCTGTATCAAGTTGTTGTGAGTTTGAACGGAGCAGCTACATGTTAGCTTAGCCTAGTCGGTCAGCTCGCCATCCAGAAAACACACATGTAAACCCGTTTCTCCTGCCGTCTTGTCTGCACACACATTAATTATTCACAAACCGGTATCAGTATGTTGTTACTTCAGCATCATTTGGAAACTTGTATTAACAATTAAATCACGGTCAAATATGTTCATTTTGTTGATGTTGTTGGTATCTACCATAGCATCTAAGATTCAAGGCTTTTGTTGTCATGTGTGCAGAGCTACAGTGTAGTTATATCAATGAAAAGCTGAGGTCACAGGCTCCTCCATTACATTACATTTAGCTCATGCTTTTATCCAAAGCGACTTACATTAAGTGCGTTCGACCAACAAGACACAACCTTGAAGAAAACAGAATCATAAAGTACATCAGGTTTCATAGAGCCAAACATTTCAAGTGCTACTCAACTGGCTTTAGATAAGCCAGTCCTTTATTAGTATATAAGTGCTTTGTTAATAGTTCTATCGCTCGAAGTGGAGTCGAAAGAGATGAGTTTTCAGTCTGGAAGGTGTGTAAGCTATCTGCCGTCCTGATGTCAATGGGGAGCTCATTCCACCATCTTGGAGCCAGGATAGCAAGCCGACAGCGTCCTCCAACAGAGCAACACAATAAAACAGATAAAATAGAATAGACATTGAGATAAGCCCCGCCCCCTCGCCAGCACGTCTCGTTTGAATGACGCCAGTAAACACAGCTGACAGCCGCGGTGAAACTCGAGCGATCAGAGCGATGCAAACGCAGCATTAGACTTCAGGTTTTCATTTCCATAACTAAACTGTAGCTGTGCATATGATGATAAAGCCTTTGCATCCTTGAGACTACTACAGGCGAATGCATTTTGCAATCGAACGACAGCAGTGCATCTCTCAGATCACATCCAGCACTGTGCAGAGGCTCTTCCTCAGACACACTGGAGAGGCTGAAGGTCAAAGAGGGTGAATCAGCGTCTCCTCTCTCAAAGCTCATGCTTGTTTTTCCGAACAAAAGACTCTTTCTGTCTTCCCGCTTCAGCACAATGAATGAGGACGCTCAGATAACCATTACCTGCATGAGGCTGGTCCCGTGTCTCTCTCTGTCTCTAATTAAAAAGACAAAGACACGGGAGGAAAGTTGGTTTATAGCTGTTTCAGATCTGACAGGAAGTCGTTCTTATCTCCACTCATATAATCCAACGAGTTTTTCGTCCCTTTTTTTTGTCCAGATTTCTGTTTACATGCTGCAATTATGACTGAAGAGATATGGAAGAAATGTCACGATATACAATATTTGAAAACGTTTTCAATCCGACATGCAAAGTTATAATATTTTAGGGATGGCTGTTGGTGCTTTCAGAAGAGAAACCTCATCTCTGTTTGACTTTTTAGTGTTTCCTTATGCATAACTTTCAACTGATGGCAGATTTAGATTTGTATAGGATGAAAACTTTAGCATTTTTTCTTGTGTGCACAGTTAGATCTCTGAGGCTTTAAAGAGTCCTCTCCTGCTGATGTTCAGGTGTATATCAGTATGTAGTGTCTCTACTTTAAAGAGTCCTCTCCTGCTGATGTTCATGTGTATATCAGTATGTAGTGTCTCTACTTTAAAGAGTCCTCTCCTGCTGATGTTCATGTGTATATCAGTATGTAGTGTCTCTACTTTAAAGAGTCCTCTCCTGCTGATGTTCAGGTGTATATCAGTATGTAGTGTCTCTACTTTAAAGAGTCCTCTCCTGCTGATGTTCAGGTGTATATCAGTATGTAGTGTCTCTACTTTAAAGAGTCCCCTCCTGCTGATGTTTAGGTGTATATCAGTATGTAGTGTCTCTACTTTAAAGAGTCCTCTCCTGCTGATGTTCAGGTGTATATCAGTATGTAGTGTCTCTACTTTAAAGAGTCCTCTCCTGCTGATGTTCAGGTGTATATCAGTATGTAGTGTCTCTACTTTAAAGAGTCCTCTCCTGCTGATGTTCAGGTGTATATCAGTATGTAGTGTCTCTACTTTAAAGAGTCCTCTCCAGCTGATGTTCAGGTGTATATCAGTATGTAGTGTCTCTACTTTAAAGAGTCCTCTCCTGCTGATGTTCAGGTGTATATCATTATGTAGTGTCTCTACTTTAAAGAGTCCTCTCCTGCTGATGTTCAGGTGTATATCAGTATGTAGTGTCTCTACTTTAAAGAGTCCTCTCCAGCTGATGTTCAGGTGTATATCAGTATGTAGTGTCTCTACTTTAAAGAGTCCTATCCTGCTGATGTTCAGGTGTATATCAGTATGTAGTGTCTCTACTTTAAAGAGTCCTATCCTGCTGATGTTCAGGTGTATATCAGTATTTAGTGTCTCTACTTTAAAGAGTCCTCTCCTGCTGATGGTCAGGTGTGTATCAGTATGTAGTGTTTCTACTTTAAAGAGTCCTCTCCTGCTGATGTTCAGGTGTATATCAGTATGTAGTGTCTCTACTTTAAAGAGTCCTCTCCTGCTGATGTTCAGGTGTATATCAGTATGTAGTGTCTCTACTTTAAAGAGTCCTCTCCTGCTGATGTTCAGGTGTATATCAGTATGTAGTGTCTACTTTAAAGAGTCCTCTCCTGCTGATGTTCAGGTGTATATCAGTATGTAGTGTCTCTACTTTAAAGAGTCCTCTCCTGCTGATGTTCAGGTGTATATCAGTATGTAGTGTCTCTACTTTAAAGAGTCCTCTCCTGCTGATGTTCAGGTGTATATCAGTATGTAGTGTCTCTACTTTAAAGAGTCCTCTCCTGCTGATGTTCAGGTGTATATCAGTATGTAGTGTCTCTACTTTAAAGAGTCCTGACACCTTCTTTGTCCCTCTGTCTTCAGGTTTTAGGGTTTGAGGTGGACTCCATCAACTCTGTGCAGTTCTCCAACCATACAGGTGAGAGCGATGAACAAGCGTGCTTCTTTGAGAATGTGTGTGTGTCTGTGCTTTGTTGTAGTTAAGTGAGTGTGTGTGAGTCAGCGCCAGCCCCTGGTGTCGTGACGGGGTTTTAGCGAGACGTTTGTCGAGGCTCACAGCTCAGTGACTCTAGTTTTCGGGAGGCTGGTGACTCAGAAGCTGAACCCAGAATGTGACACCGGCTTTCCGTCTGGTTTTGAAGCAGCAAAGATGCAGTTAGTATTCTGTCTGCATCATGTTCCCCTCGGTGTTCACAACCCGTCATATTTTGATCTGATTTGCAGTCCCTTGAATGAGCAGTGTGTTCCCCCCTGCATGAATCAGCTGAGAACACAAACACATCTGCACAGATGCTGCTTCTCAGTAAATATAACATCATCCTGAGGATCAGTGACAGAGTTTAGAGTAAAAGGTTTCCCAAAAGAAATGAAGACACAACTGGACAACACATGCAGACACTAAAGAGTGACGCACACAGCTGGAGACCAGGGGACACTAAAGAGTGACGCACACAGCCGGGAGACCAGGGGACACTAAAGAGTGACGCAGACAGCTGGGAAACCAGGGGACACTAAAGAGTGACGCACACAGCTGGAGACCAGGGGACACTAAAGAGTGATGCACACAGCTGGAGACCAGGGGACACTAAAGAGTGACGCAGACAGCTGGGAAACCAGGGGACACTAAAGAGTGACGCACACAGCTGGAGACCAGGGGACACTAAAGAGTGATGCACACAGCTGGAGACCAGGGGACACTAAAGAGTGACGCACACAGCTGGAGACCAGGGGACACTAAAGAGTGACGCAGACAGCTGGGAAACCAGGGGACACTAAAGAGTGACGCACACAGCCGGGAGACCAGGGGATACTAAAGAGTGACGCACACAGCCGGGAGACCAGGGGACACTAAAGAGTGACGCACACAGCCGGGAGACCAGGGGACACTAAAGAGTGACGCACACATCTGGGAGACCAGGGGACACTAAAGAGTGACGCAGACAGCTGGGAAACCAGGGGACACTAAAGAGTGAAGCACACAGCTGGGAGACCAGGGGACACTAAAGAGTGACACACACAGCCGGGAGACCAGGGGACACTAAAGAGTGAAGCACACAGCTGGGAGACCAGGGGACACTAAAGAGTGATGCACACAGCTGGAGACCAGGGGACACTAAAGAGTGATGCACACAGCTGGAGACCAGGGGACACTAAAGAGTGATGCACACAGCTGGAGACCAGGGGACACTAAAGAGTGACGCACACAGCCGGGAGACCAGGGGACACTAAAGAGTGACGCACACAGCCGGGAGACCAGACAGCTGGAGACCAGGGGACACTAAAGAGTGACGCACACAGCCGGGAGACCAGGGGACACTAAAGAGTGACACACACAGCCGGGAGACCAGGGGACACTAAAGAGTGAAGCACACAGCTGGGAGACCAGGGGACACTAAAGAGTGACGCACACATCTGGGAGACCAGGGGACACTAAAGAGTCACGCACACATCTGGGAGACCAGGGGACACTAAAGAGTGACACACACATCTGGGAGACCAGGGGACACTAAAGAGTGAAGCACACAGCTGGGAGACCAGGGGACACTAAAGAGTGAAGCACACAGCTGGGAGACCAGGGGACACTAAAGAGTGACGCAGACAGCTGGGAAACCAGGGGACACTAAAGAGTGAAGCACACAGCTGGGAGACCAGGGGACACTAAAGAGTGATGCACACAGCTGGAGACCAGGGGACACTAAAGAGTGATGCACACAGCTGGAGACCAGGGGACACTAAAGAGTGATGCACACAGCTGGAGACCAGGGGACACTAAAGAGTGACGCACACAGCCGGGAGACCAGGGGACACTAAAGAGTGACGCACACAGCCGGGAGACCAGGAGACACTAAAGAGTGACGCACACAGCTGGGAAACCAGGGGACACTAAAGAGTGACGCAGACAGCTGGGAAACCAGGGGACACTAAAGAGTGAAGCACACAGCTGGGAGACCAGGGGACACTAAAGAGTGACGCACACAGCCGGGAGACCAGGGGACACTAAAGAGTGACGCACACAGCCGGGAGACCAGGGGATACTAAAGAGTGACGCACACAGCCGGGAGACCAGGGGACACTAAAGAGGGACGCACACAGCCGGGAGACCAGGGGACACTAAAGAGGGACGCACACAGCCGGGAGACCCGGGGACACTAAAGAGTGATGCACACAGCTGGAGACCAAGGGACACTAAAGAGTGATGCACACAGCTGGAGACCAGGGGACACTAAAGAGTGACGCACACAGCCGGGAGACCAGGGGACACTAAAGAGTGACGCACACAGCCGGGAGACCAGGGGACACTAAAGAGTGAAGCACACAGCCGGGAGACCAGGGGACACTAAAGAGTGACGCACACAGCCGGGAGACCAGGGGACACTAAAGAGTGAAGCACACAGCCGGGAGACCAGGGGACACTAAAGAGTGACGCACACAGCTGGGAGACCAGGGGACACTAAAGAGTGATGCACACAGCCGGGAGACCAGGGGACACTAAAAAGTGACGCACACATCTGGGAGACCAGGGGACACTAAAGAGTGACGCACACAGCTGGGAGACCAGGGGACACTAAAGAGTGACACAAACAGCTGGAGACCAGGGGACACTAAAGAGTGACGCACACAGCTGGAGACCAGGGGAACATTAGCCTCCTTTAGCTTAGCGGTGGTGACGTGAAGTCATGTGACCGTGCTGTAGTTCCTTTATAGCCCAACATTAGCCACCTTTAGCTTAGCGGTGGTGACGTGAAGTCATGTGACCGTGCTGTAGTTCCTTTATAGCCCAACATTAGCCACCTTTAGCTTAGCGGTGGTGACGTGAAGTCATGTGACCGTGCTTTAGTTCCTTTATAGCCCAACATTAGCTTTTTTCTTCAGAAATCATAAAGTGATGTTAAAATTTGGAGATTATCCTGCTGAACTAAATGTGAAAGTATCATACACGTTATTTTCTCCAATAATCCTAATTCACATGGAAACATCCCATTGGACCAGGGAGATGCTGCCTTCAGGGACCCACACAGAAATGTCAGAGAAGATCAGAATAACCTTTGATATCAGGGGTCAGTGTTTGTTGGGCCTCTGGTACAGAATAGCTGCAGCTAAATCTCTGGAGTGAATTGTCTCACTGACCTTACCATGAAAGCATTCCTGAGTCTCTGCCGCTCTAATCAGATCTCGTGTTTTGGATTCTCACATTTGCAATTTCTTCAAGGAGAGTGTGTGTAACTCAGTGTGACGTATCTGAGACGAGAGAGGGAGATATTTTGTATTAAGGAGGGAGTTAAAGAGGAGAGGCAGCAGCAGACGTGGTGAATTGCGACAATGATGACAACAGAAGCAGCTCTTATCTGTACACACACACACACACACACACACACACACACACACACACACACACACACACACACACACACACACACACACACACACACAACACACACACACACACACACACACACACACACACACACACACACACACACACACACACAGCGCTCTGACTACTCATCTCTCTTTCTTAGCCCCTTTGGCTTTTTCCCGGCTTGTTGCTTAGCGACAAGGACCCCCTCTCCCCCCCCCCCTTCGTGACGGGGCTGTGACTCACCTGCAGCAAGCATGTCACACACACACACACACACACACACACACACACATGTTTTTACATTAGCAGTCTCCTCACATTCCTCCAGAGCTTTCGTGCAGCCAGTGGCGTTTTTGGACTGGTCTTAACTTCTCCAGTTAAAGCACGTTTAATGTTGGACTAAAGAGACAACGCTAGCTACTCTTAGTGCTACAAGAATACATAAAATCCTCCCACCAGGGGGACGGGACTGGAGACTCTGACCCAGCACCCAGTGGGTTGTAATGGGGCTACAGCCCACTGCGCCTCTTTGAGCACCTGCTGTAGTTGCAGACAGGTGGAGGTGGGAGTAGAGCGCCAGGAGGAATATGGTTTTTAGCACGGGAAAAAGCAGAAGGAGGCCTGAGGAGAGGCTCGGGCAGTTATATGGGAAACGTATAGGTTCATATTGGTGAATGGAAATACATGCACAAATGGATCATCTGGTGCCTCAGCGGCAGTTTGACTTTCTATCAAATGAGCTGTATATTTATGTACGGCACTTTGAGGGGTTGTAAAGACTGGATAAAGCACTTCATAGTACAGTCCATGTACCATTTAGTTTGCCTGTTGCACGTTTGATTTGTATTAACCATCAGAGTGTGTGAAAGATCAAGATGCGAAGCACCGTCCTACATTCCTGCGCTGATGTCCTAACCTGCAAACAATCAGGAGTAAAAACTATAACCGTGAACCAGGAGCTTTAAAGTGTGTGTCAGCAGCATCTATAGTGGAGGTGTGTGTACATTACATTACATTACATTGCATTTAGCTGACGCTTTTGTCCAAAGCGACTTACAATAAGTACATTCGACCAGGAAGACACAACCTTGAAGAAAACAGAATCATATAAGTATATCAGGTTTCATAGAGCCAAACATTTCAAGTGCTACTCAACTGGCTTTAGGTAATCCAGTCCTTTATTAGTATAAAAGTGCTTCGTTAATCGTTCTAACGCTCGAAGTGGAGTCGAAAGAGATGAGTTTTCAGTTTGCGCCGGAAGATGTGCAAGCTATCTGCCGTCCTGATGTCAATGGGGAGTTCATTCCACCATCTTGGAGCCAGGATAGCAAACCCACGTGTTTTCGCCGATGGAAACTTGGGTCCCCCTCGCAGCGAGGGCGCAACGAGTCGTTTGGCTGATGCAGAGCGTAGTGCACGCGCTGGGGTGTACGGTTTAACCATGTCCTGGATGTAGGAAGGGCCAGATCCATTCGCAGCACGGTAAGCAAGTACCAGTGTCTTGAAGTGGATTCTAGCAGTTACCGGAAGCCAGTGAAGGGAGCGGAGGAGCGGAGTGGTGTGGGAGAATTTAGGAAGGTTGAAAACCAGACGAGCCGCTGCATTCTGGATGAGCTGCAGAGGTCGGATGGCACATGCAGGTAGACCAGCCAGGAGGGAGTTGCAGTAGTCTAGGCGTGAGATGACGAGAGCCTGGACCAGAACCTGAGTCGCTTTCTGAGTCAGCTGGGGACGTATCTTCCTGATGTTGTAAAGCGTGTATCTGCAGCAGCGGGTTGTAGCAGCGATGTTTGCAGTGAAGGACAGGTTGTTATCTAGGGTCACACCCAGATTCCTTGCAGTCTGAGTCGGGGAAACAACTGAGGTGCCGATGTTGATTGTCAGGTCAAGAGTTGGACAATCTTTTCCCGGGAGGAAGAGCAGCTCAGTCTTGTCAAGGTTGAGCTTGAGGTGGTGAGCAGACATCCACTGAGAGATGTCAGCTAGACAAGCAGAGATGCGTGCGACGACCTGGGTCTCTGAGCGGGGTAAGGACAGAATTAATTGGGTGTCGTCAGCGTAGCAGTGGTAAGAAAAACCATGCGGGCTAATGACTGATCCGAGCGAGTTTGTGTACAAGGAGAAGAGGAGGGGACCAAGAACAGAGCCCTGAGGGACCCCCGTAGTTAATTGACAAGGGTCGGACTCAGACCCTCTCCAAGTCACCCTGTAGGTACGGTCTTTCAGGTATGAGGTGAGGAGGAAAAGTGCAGAGCCTGAAACTCCAAGTTTTTGGAGAGTGCGAAGGAGGATCTGATGATTCACCGTGTCGAATGCAGCAGACAGGTCCAACAGGATGATGACAGAGGAGAGGGATGCAGTTTTGGCAGTGTGCAGTTCCTCCGTGACAGCAATGAGAGCAGTTTCTGTGGAGTGACCTGCCTTGAAACCAGACTGGTGCGGATCCAGAAGGTTGTTCTGATTGAGATAACAGGAGAGTTGTTTAAAGACAGCGCGTTCAAGTGATTTAGACAGGAACGGGAGGAGAGAGACAGGCCTGTAGTTTATAACATCAGACGGGTTGAGAGTGGGTTTCTTTAGGAGAGGGTTTACTCTTGCCTCCTTGAGACTGTTTGGAAAGTGACCAGAAGTTAGAGAAGTGTTGATGAAATGGGTGAGAAACGGTAGAATATCAGGAGCGATAGTCTGAAGGAGGTTTGAAGGGATAGGGTCCAGAGGACAGGTGGTAGGGCGGGCAGAGGTAATGAGGGTAAGAACCTCACTTGGAGAGAGAGGGGAAAAGGAGGTTAGTGTGTTGGTGGAAGGAAGGTCTGGTGACCCAGCGGTGAGTAAAGGTGAGTCAGAAAAAGAAGAGCGAATATCATTAACCTTTTTTTCAAAGTGGGGTAACAAAGTCGCTTGACAGAAGTGAGGAGGGGGGAGGAGCTTTTGGAGGGTCCAAGAGGGTGGAGAAGATGGAAAATAGTTTTTTAGGATTGGAATAGGAAGATTGGATCTTATCTTGAAAGAAAGTGCTTTTTGCCTGAGAGATCGAAGCAGAGAAAGAGGAGAGGAGAGCCTGATAGGTTAGGAGGTCGTCACGGTGTTTGGATTTCCACCATTTCCGCTCTGCTGCCCTAAGGACGGTTCTATTAGCACGCAGTGCATCATTTAGCCAGGGAGCCGGAGGGGACTGACGAGCCTGCCGAGATGTCAGAGGACAGAGCGAGTCCAGAGTGGATGAGAGAGTAGAGAGGAGAGTTTCTGCAGCAGAGTTTGGAGGCAGTAGTTGGAACGAATCAGAGGAAGGGAGGGCTGAGAGCACCGACGAGGCAAAGGTAGAGGGAGAGAGGGAGCGAAGGTTACGGCGGACAAGTGTAGGATGGGAAGAGATTAGTTTGTTATATTTGGAAAGGGATAGAGAGAATGAAATGAAGAAGTGATCGGATGTGTGGAGCGGGTTTACAGAGAGGTTAGAAGTAGCGCAGTTCCTTGAGAATATGAGATCAAGGACATTGCCAGCTTTATGAGTCGGTGGGGACGGAGAGAGTGAGAAAGCAAAGGCGGTTAACAGAGATGTTAGTTCGTCTATCTTCCCCATCTGGAGGTTGAAGTCTCCGAGAAGTACAGCGGGAGGGCCAGTTTCAGGGATGTGTGAGAGGAGATGATCTAATTCCTCCAAGAAGTCCCCCAAGGCGCCTGGTGGACGGTAGAGAACAACAATGGTTAACTGTATAGGATGGGTTACTGTGACGGCATGGAACTCAAAGGTGGAAGGAGTAAAGTTAGGTAGCTTGAAGAGGGAAAAGCTCCATTTGGGAGAGAGCAGGAGACCAGTGCCACCTCCTCTGCCAGTGGGTCTGGGTGTATGGGAGAAGGAATATGCAGTGGAGAGAGCTGCTGGGGTGGATGTGTTGGATGGAGTAATCCAGGTCTCAGTGAGAGCAAGGAAATCCAGAGACTGCAGGGAGGTGTAGCCAGAGATGAAGTCAGCCTTAGGAACAGCTGACTGGCAGTTCCACAGGCCACCTGAAACTAGATGTTGGATCTCAGTGGAGCATGTGGGATAGACGAGAGCAGGCCGGTTATATCGATTACGAAATACACGGGGCCAGTGATAATTGCGAGAAGACACATGAACAGGAATGGAGAAAATACACATGATTATAGCATGAGGGGCTAAACAACAAAATTAAAAATTAAAAACACCAACGATACTTAGCTCAATCAAAGTAGGATTGGCCTCCTCTTTGCCTCCCTCGTGACTCCTGTAGGACTCTAATGTCTTTGTCAGTCTTTGACTCCTGTAGGACTCTAATGTCTTTGTCAGTCTTTGACTCCTGTAGGACTCTAATGTCTTTGTCAGTCTTAGCCTGTCTGCCGCTGAAGCTGACGCTCCAGGAAAGAGCTACCCGAAATGGACGCCTGATTGCTCAGTTCTCACAGCTGAAGTTAATTAGTTAACTATCTACAGCTGATGGGCGACAATAGACTGGCCCTGCCTATGTTAATAATGCAGGCTTGAGTGCTGAGAGCTGTAAAGCAGGTTTCGCCTGAGCAGATCTGAGATTTAAAATCTCTCAAAAGCGATTTAGCCGTTTAAGCTACAGTAACAATTATACAGAGTCGAATAAATGAAACCGAGAAGTCTAATTAAACAAGAATATAACTTACAGTGGTTGCTGCGTCAATAGGTAATGTTGTCACCGGGTCCAGATGCACACTGAGTTCATCAGTTTCTAAATGCGGTATTTAAATGCTTTTTGAGCTAAAGGATGACTGAGTCACGCGGTTCTACTTCACGCAATCAATAGACTGGCCCTGCCTATGTTAATAATGCAGGCTTGAGTGCTGAGAGCTGTAAAGCAGGTTTCGCCTGAGCAGATCTGAGATTTAAAATCTCTCAAAAGCGATTTAGCCGTTTAAGCTACAGTAACAATTATACAGAGTCGAATAAATGAAACAGAGAAGTCTAATTAAACAAGAATATAACTTACAGTGGTTGCTGCGTCAATAGGTAATGTTGTCACCGGGTCCAGATGCACACGTACATGTACATGTACAGAGTGTGTGTGGGTGTCTGAAAAGCCTTGTAAAGAGTGTGTGTGTGTGTGTGTGTGTGTGTGTGTGTGTGTGTGTGTGTGTGTGTGTGTGTGTGTGTGTGTGTGTGTGTGTGTGTGTGTGTGTGTGTGTGTGTGTGTGTGTGTGTGTGTGTGTGTGTGTGTGTGTGTGTGTGTGTGTGTGTGTGTGTGTGTGTGTGTGTGTGTGTGTGTGTGTGTGTGTGTGTGTGTGTGTGTGTGTGTGTGTGTGTGTGTGTGTGTTTCCTCTCTGCAGGTTACTCTCACTGGAGGGGTCAGGTTCTGACGGCCGATGAGCTCCACGTTCTGTACGAAGGAATCAAACTGAACAACGTGCACAAGTACGACTACGTGTTAACAGGTGAACACGTCATCCTATACACACACACACACACACACACACACACACACACCACACACACACACACACACACACACACACACACACACACACACACACACACACACTGCAGTCTGATTTAAGGTGATGTTGTTGTGTTGAAGTGTTTTGAATATACCTGCTGCCCCTGTGAACCTGGACGTGTTGAGATGCTAACCTGCATATGCTCGGCTGAGTTGGACAGTTAGGGTTCTGGAGGCTATTGAGGATGCTGGATCCATTTCTCACATTATTATGATCAAACATGGTAGTTTTGAGTTTGCTACAACTTCATCAAAGTCAGCCCCAGGAGAACAAACATGTTTTGATCCATTAGATGAGCTGGCTGTATACTGCTTTGGAAAACTGCAGTCGAGTAGCAGAACTGTTTATTTATACACAGTGCAATGAGCCAATGACTGATACGGTTATGATTTGATAACTGTATTGCTGTGTTTCCAGGGTACACCAGAGACACGTCCTTCCTGGAGATGGTGGTGGATATCGTCCAGGAGCTGAAGAGAGCCAACCCCAACCTGGTGTACGGTGAGAGAGCACACACTGGGATATTCATGAGGTTCAAACCAACGCTGTGTTATTCAGTAAAGCATTTAACAGATCTATTTCCAGCTGGAAGGACAGAGTCTTAAGATCTGCCAGGTTACAACAGAACACACACAGTGAGTTATAACCAATACCATCTGTGTGATGATCTGCCGGAGAACAGTCACAGTGTTCTGAGGGTGGAGAAAGCAGAAGGAAGCCAGTCCGTGTGAAAGGTGTGAAGAAGCCTGGGAGCCGTACTGGGCCGAATGAGACTTCAATTAGAAACCATCACGATCTTTATCAGTCATGTTTCAGATGATGGTTTGTAGTTTCAGACACTTCACTGTTTCAGTTCTCCGTTCCCATTTCCCATTCGAACGGGGCTTGGCGATCTGACAAAAACGTACACATGTACATATTCACACAGTTCTACTCATATTGGCCCCAAGCGCTGGGCCTCCTGTGAGGAGTCAGCTGCAGGAAGTGACTTTCGATCGTCTCTGTTTGTGTTTCCAGTGTGTGACCCTGTCCTCGGGGACCATGGATCTATGGTGAGACCAGCTGTGTGTGTGTGTGTGTGTGTGTGTGTGTGTGTGTGTGTGCGCGCATGTGTGTGTGTGTGCGCGCATGTGTGTGTGTGTGTGTGTGTGTGTGTCCACATGTGTGTGTGTGTGTGTGTGTGTGGGTGTGTGTGTGTGTGTGTGTGTGTGTGTGTGTGTGTGTGTGTGTGTGTGTGTTAATGCTGTTGTCAGATGTATGTTTAACAGGGAGTACTGTGCCTTTAAACTAAGTGTGTGTGGGGGTTTCAGTGGGAGGTCTCATTTCCCACTGACACATGGATTACAGTGATCTGACAGAAATACACAGTGTGTGTCTATGTGTGTCTGTGTGTGTCTGTGTGTCACACAATGTGTAGACGTGCATTTTGGGGGATTAGCATCATATTCTGATCAGTTATAACCAGCTGAGCCCACACACTGCTGTTCTTCCTTCAGCTTCAGGAGGGTTTATTAATCACTGCGGCTGTTCTCCACTGAGGAGCTAGTCCACTAACAACTGTACCATTTAGTCCACTGATTGATTCATTGATTTAATCACAGGATCATTCAAACGGGTTTTCACCACAGTGACTCCTGCAGAGATGTGATCAAAAAGGAGTGTGTACCGCGGCATCATTGCTGTTTACTCGTGTCACTCAAACTACTGGCTTCTCTCCATGTAAATACCAACACCAACAACAACAACAACAACAAAATTCAAATGTTTTAACGTGATTTCATTTCAATACACATATCCAAATGATGCGGCAATATCTACAAACTGATACGGGTTATTAAGAACATGAAGTAATGTCTGCACCGGGGGTTCCCCGTCAAATGTTACAGAGATCAGAAAACAAGATCTCAGGGTCAGGGTTAGGGTTAGGGTTAGCTAACCCTAACCCTAACCCTATCAAACAGAGCGTCAGACGGCAGAGACAGCTTTGTTTTTACAGAGCTCCGACGTCATGTTGTTGTTTACGTCCGGAGACATCTTGTATACGGGTGTCATGTTGTTGTTGATATATCTTATAAACAAGATCAGAGACACAGAACTCGTACTACCCCTGATGATGGGAAGCATCAGGCTAACGTGCAGCTGCTCTGCTCACAGTAACGTCCTGCAGACAGAAAGACTGTGGATGCAGTAGTTCAGCCAATCAGTAATATGATGCTATCCTGGCTCAATGTATGAGTGTACAGGTCTGAGGAGAGGCCACCTTTACAGCATTATCAGTGTGTTCACCAGTGTGTGTGTGTGTGTGTGTGTGTGTGTGTGTGTGTGTGTGTGTGTGTGTGTGTGTGTGGTGTGTGGTGTGTGTGTGTGTGTGGTGTGTGTGTGTGTGTGTGTGTGTGTGTGTGTGTGTGGGTGTGTGTGTGGTGTGTGTGTGTGGTGTGTGTGTGTGTGTGTGGTGTGTGTGTGTGTGTGTGTGTGTGTGTGTGTGTGTGTGTGTGTGGTGTGTGTGTGTGTGTGTGGTGTGTGTGTGTGTGGTGTGTGTGTTGTGTGTGTGTGTGTGTGTGTGTGTGTGTGTGTGTGTGTGTGTCCACAGTACGTCCCTCAGAACCTGTACCCGGTCTACAAGAACAAAGTGGTTCCTGTGGCGGACATCATCACCCCCAACCAGTTTGAGGCTGAGTGAGTACAGCAGCGGCCACTCACCGTCATTTAATAGTTCCTCACTTTCTGTGTAGAACTCTCAGTCCTCTGACAGAATGTGTTCGTCTTCTGTTTCAGATTGTTGACGGGGAAAACCATCACCACGGAGAAAGACGCTGTGGAGGTGAAACTCCTCTCGCTATATAACCCTTCATACCTTCCTATTGAGCGGGACGAAGATCTGGTTTGACCAAAATAAATGAACATTGAACGCAAACAAAACCAATGATAATGATAGACAATACATTAAGTTGGAAACCACATATACGTTATATCAAAGCCAACATATCCAAATCAATAGCCATTCTGAATAAAGCCAAAGACCGAATGAATCAAGCTTCCTTGTTGATGCTGTACTGCTCCTTCGTACTTCCATACATGATGCACTGTGTGGAGGTTTGAGGGAACACATATACAACAAACACACATCCTATCTTCATCCTGCAAAAAAGAGCCATACGAGTTATACATAGAACTATGTACAGAGAACCAACAAATAGACACTAAAAACACTAAAACGACAAGGCCTGAGGCCTGTACCACGAAGCAGGATGTTCTCTTAGCGGGCTAGATCTCCATGATAACTGATGCTGAGCGGCTAACCTGGGGGGTATACTACAAATCTAGTTCAACCTAACCTGGATATGTTTGAGTTAGCCGGTTGGCCTAATCCAAAACATACGCGCTCTCGCTAAACGGTCCTACGACGCTGGTTATCAAGTGGATCGCTCAAGCCAGCCGTGTCCTATCTAGTTAGGTGCACGTTCACATGAAAGGGGTGGTATCTGGAGCATTCGACCAATCACAAACATGGAGAAGCGTACTGACAGCGCAGCGTCATACTTCCTGAATGAAAAGTCAACTATAATATTAGACATATGAAGAAGTTAAACTTTAAACATCCATGACTTAAACACTTGATCCAGGATCAAAGCCACAGCCAACAAAGAAACAACAAAGAGCCGGATGTTCTCTTAGCGGCTAACTTCAGGGTAACTCTGGGTTTCCGGTCCTACGAAGCTGGTTCTCTTCTTAGCGGCTAGATCTCCATGGTAACTGATGCTGAGCGGCTAACCTGCTCCGGAGCAGGTTAGGTTGCAGGCTAAGAGCTCAACTCAGTGAAAGCACTGCCTGCTGACCAATCAGAGCTCAGTGTGCAGAGTTTAAAGCGATCAAGTCATATTACAGGAGAAAGGAAATACAGAAAAGCTGCCGTTGCAGGAAAGACGGCCGGCAACAATCAGCGACTGTGTGAACGCGAACATGAATAGAATATCACCTCCATCTTCAGAGCAATCTGACTACTATAACATTAGCGTTAAGAAAGCTCACTGAAATATCTGCCACAACATAAGTAACCGGATCAGAGTCACATTAAGTACAGTCCGCGGCACTGTGAGTGCAGACATCGATGTGTCCCATTATCATTCATATCACATCATAATGTCGGACAGAGAAACCCTGGCTTGAGTTAACGAGTTGATATCCAGCGCCGTCGGACCGCTTAGCGAGAGCGCGTTTGTTTTGGATTAGGTAAGCCGGGTAACTCAAACATATCCAGGGTCAGTTGAACCGGCCTCTGGTTGACTATAAAACTATCCAAATGATGTTCAAAGCCGCAAATCAATAATGACCTCATAATATCCAGGGACTTTTCACGCGGAGAGAAAGCATACACATGTTGAGAGGAAACACCCATACGAACAAATTCCAAACATTGCATCAAAAGGTGTTCATCTGTGGAATACCTGCAGCGATGAGACACTTTATCTAAAACTCTCATTCAGAAACCAAATCCTGAATGTCATGAGCAGGACCCGTCTGTTTTAGTTTACCTGAAAGATCATTCGTTTTTGTTTGTTTTGTACAAAGGGATGATTTGTTTAAAACAATGAGTCAAATAACGCGGATGACGATGACCTGATTTCCATGAATCATGTTTGCTAAAGGAGGACCAGAACAGTTTTGAAGCTTCTTCTTCTCGCCCCTTTTGAACAGAAACTATTTGAGAATATATTTTTTATTTTCTTTGTTATTATTATTGTTTGTTTTTGTTTTTAACATGTTTAATAGCGTGACAAAAAAATGAACAATCATGAAAACAATGGCTAGCTTACTCCCAGTATCAGCTGCTTCGTGGCGGGGTCATTGCCTCTTCTAGCAGAGTGTTTTGTAATGGTGGTATGTATTGTGCACATAGTGGTGGTGTGGAAGTTCTCCTTACTGAAGGGGGAGGAGTTATAGAGTTTGACCTCAGATTTTAATAGTCATAACTACTGGAGCTATGTACACGTGGCAATAAAACCCTTGAGTCCTGAGTCTTGCTGTCCACTGGGAGAATCAGCTGCTTGATGGCAGGGTTTCTTTATTTCTCGTTTCTCTTGCAGGTGATGGACCTGCTTCACGCCATGGGTCCCGACACGGTGGTCATCACGTCCTCCGACCTCCCCTCCAGACTAGGGGATCGCTTCCTGGTGTCTCTGGGCAGCCAGCGCCACGGTACAGAACCATCACACTATCTCTCTATATATTCCTCTTACTGTCTTTGAATGCACCATCACACTATCTCTCTATTTATTCCTCTAACTGTCTTTGAATGCACCATCACACTATCTCTCTATATATTCCTCTAACTGTCTTTGAACGCACCATCACACTATCTCTCTATATATTCCTCTAACTGTCATTGAATGCACCATCACACCATCTCTCTATTTATTCCTCTAACTGTCTTTGAATGCACCATCACACTATCTCTCTATATATTGCTCCTACTGTCATTGAATGCACCATCACACTATCTCTCTATATATTCCTCTTACTGTCTTTGAATGCACCATCACACTATCTCTCTATATATTCCTCTAACTGTCTTTGAATGCACCATCACACTATCTCTCTATATATTCCTCTTACTGTCTTTGAATGCACCATCACACTATCTCTCTATATATTCCTCTAACTGTCTTTGAATGCACCATCACACTATCTCTCTATATATTCCTCTTACTGTCTTTGAATGCACCATCACACTATCTCTCTATATATTCCTCTAACTGTCTTTGAATGCACCATCACACTATCTCTCTATATATTCCTCTTACTGTCTTTGAATGCACCATCACACTATCTCTCTATATAATCCTCTTACTGTCTTTGAATGCACCATCACACTATCTCTCTATATAATCCTCTTACTGTCTTTGAATGCACCATCACACTATCTCTCTATATAATCCTCTTACTGTCTTTGAACGCACCATCACACTATCTCTCTATATATTCCTCTAACTGTCTTTTGAATGCACCATCACACTATCTCTCTATATAATCCTCTAACTGTCTTTGAATGCACCATCACACTATCTCTCTATATATTCCTCTTACTGTCTTTGAATGCACCATCACACTATCTCTCTATATATTCCTCTTACTGTCTTTGAATGCACCATCACACTATCTCTCTATATATTCCTCTTACTGTCTTGAATGCACCATCACACTATCTCTCTATTTATTCCTCTAACTGGTCTTGAATGCACCATCACACTATCTCTCTATTTAATCCTCTAACTGTCTTTGAATGCACCATCACACTATCTCTCTATTTATTCCTCTAACTGTCTTTGAATGCACCATCACACTATCTCTCTATATATTCCTCTTACTGTCTTTGAACGCACCATCACACTATCTCTCTATATATTCCTCTAACTGTCTTTGAATGCACCATCACACTATCTCTCTATTTATTCCTCTTACTGTCTTTGAATGCACCATCACACTATCTCTCTATATAATCCTCTCTTCTTTGAATGCAC